TAAAAATACTATTGAAAAAATCCTATTTATTTTCGAAATGCGTCACTTATTTGTTAACTTTGAAACCCCCTATTCATGAATTTTTTCAGAAATTCTTAATGTTGATGAAATCCGTGAAGGAAACTATTTTTTTTTAAGAAAACTGAGTCAAAAAATATTTTGGCTAAATTTGAAGAAAAAATCCCCAGGATACCATTATTAGGAAAAGCATCTAACTATATCAAAAAGTACCTTGAAGGCAAAATGGATAAAATTTTTGATAATGAATATAAGTCTTTATACACTGCAATAAGAAACTTAACTTTGAAACCCTTTATTAATTTTATATCATTTCCGATAAATTCGAATTAATGATCTGTCATTAAGAAATTTACTAATTTTGAAATACAAATATGATTTTCAATACTTGAAATAAGTTTTTTTTTTTTATTTCTGAAACCTCCTCGTTAGGATCATTTAAAGATGAAGAATAATTAAGAATGTTAAGTAGTAATTGGCAATACTCTAGTTTATTGGTTAAAAGCTACGAAAGCATAAGTAAATACGTGTACACAATTTATAATTACGTTCTTTTAATAGTTTTATTTCTTATGTAACTAATATATTCCTTTTACGGTCGTTTATTTAGTTATTTTAATAATTTGTGTTCTCTCTCTGTCGCTTTTCTCGTCAATAATACAAATTGTATTTCCTTTAATCAAATATATGAGTCACTATTACATTAAAAAAAGGGTCTCCCAATGTTGCTGGTCTGATGAGACAAAGCAATCAATACTTTGAATTCAATAATTATTTGAACTACATGAAGAACCAATATCGAAGAATCTGACTAATATCGCACAAAAAGATACGCCATGTTTACAACACTAAGTTTACCACATTAAACAAAGACCACCATCCGCATTCGCAGATAAAACTATCTTTTTTTTTAACATGAATATATGATTTGATTCATAAATATTTTTGTTCATTAATGTTTGTGCACAACGCATACGTACAAAATCGTCTTATTTAAAATAAAAATAACGTACATGCAACTTTTATCCGGTTTATATATATTGTTAAGGAAATATAAATGAAAATTTTATTATTGTGGTTATAGACTGACGCCTCATTTTTTACAAAATTATACGTATACTTCATAATTTACATATATATATATAATCGTGACTTCAGGACTAATAAGTCAATATCATGTGACTAATGGTGTTCTCAAACATCTCTATTTCCGCTATGCCTCCTAAAAAGAATTCTTATTCAACAAGCTGCCGAAGTTTCAACTTCAGTTTCATTGGCTTCATCTTTTAATGACAATTAAGAATCAACTTATGAAGTCGCTTTGCGGAAACAAGATGTAAATTTTTTTTTAAAAAAAAAAATTTTTATAGGCAATCTATAGTAATTCTGCAGTTGCTATTTCGCATTGAAAGTAGCATAAATATTTTCAAAAAAGTTACCTTCATTATCCGTTAAAAACAGAAAAACATCTACCCAAAATCCTTCAGTTTTGGATCTTTGCTGAAAAATTTTTAAATTTAGATGAACAAAAAACGGAATAGTAGTTTTCATTATAGTTTGATTAAAGGTTAAAAAATAAGTTGCATTTATTACGTTCATATCAAGGTATCGATTATTTGCTTTAAAAGCTTCGATCATTAGGAATAAAGTAGCTATTTTTTTTAGATCGGTTAGAAATTATAATTAAACCAAAATTTTATAAACTTTAATAAATAATTCTGAGAGATCATGGAATTATAGTTACGAGCAGTGTTGGGCAAATTAGTGGTCGACCAAAAATTTACTGGTCAAATGGTCGAACTGGTCAAATTGGTCAAATCAATTATATAAATATAAATATATATTATATAATAAATTATATTTAAATATACTATTTGACCAATTTGACCAGTACAGATTCTTTGACCAGACCGGTCAAATTGGTCAAATTGGTCTGGTCCAATGGTCAAACTGGTCTGGTCAAGCCAACACTAAATACAGTCAGCTCTGTCTATTCTGAACCATCTGTTCTTATATGTAAAATGAGTTATAATGTTCAGTTCTCAAAGAGGTATTATATGCTAATCCGAACTTTATAATAAAATTTACAAATGTCTTAGAGTTTTAAGTTCAGATTAGAGAGAATTTAATAGTGTTCGGATTAGAGAGGTTCGGATTAGAGAGAGTTGACTGTATATACATAAATAGTTCTGCGATATATTTTCTGTCTAATTTAAATTTAAATACTTTAATTTTAGATTGAATATACATTAAAAGGATTAGAATTAACTCTTAATATTCTTAACGACCCACCTAGTATCGCGGAGCTTAAATTTATTGCCGATTAATGCAATAATGACAACATTTGATTAATAACATGTAAAAATAATAATACCAATTTACGATGAAAATTTTTATTTCTTTGAATACCTTAATACAAAATATTTTCTAAAATATAACACTCAACTTTATTCATCTTGTCGAATTACGAAACCAAAAAACTGCATTAAAATAATAATAAGTCATGTTTTAAGTGCACAACCCGTGTAAATGGAAGCATAAAACAGAAACGTGAGGATCAAATTTTAAATGATATTCGCAAGCAAAAAGAAAATGCTATAAAA